TGGCTGCAGGGGCCCAGAGCCACTGGGTCCCCCTCACTGGGAAGAGGGAATAAATTGGGGCTTCGCTCAAGACTCTTCTGTCAGTCCTACTCTTAGAAAAGCCTCTAAGCTACTAACAAAGTAATCTGGTAACACCTCTGATGTTTATATCCCTAGTGGAACATGTGTGTTGCTAACCCGTTCTGTTAATGCATGTGGATGTCTCCACGTAATGTATTTAACTTAACTTCTGGCTTGTAAAAATGCTTGTAATCCTCAAACCTAGATTCCATAGGTAACCCAACAGCAGCTGAGGTACTAACTATAAAACTCAGTTACAAGTCTGAATTTCTACTTAATCATGCACAAGTGGACAGTAGCTGTGACACCTGCGTACTGGAAGAGCTCTTGCAGGGCTGTGAATGGCAGATGCTGTAGGACGGACTGGTCCCACCCTCTGTACTTCAGCCTTTTTCCAATGAGCCTGCCACAGCTATTGCCAGTTTCTAATCTTGCTGCGGCCAGAGAAGGGTTGAGAGTAAAGCTACTCTGGCCTGCTCCCTGGTGCATGCATGTCTTAAGGAATGAAGGACAAATATACCCTAGAACACCCCATGCTAATGTCACTCTTACATTTTCAGTGCCCGTGTACCTGCCGTTCCTCCTTGTTGGGTCCGTATTTGTGGCATTTGTTGTTGGCGGTGCCTGTGTTGGAATTTGCTGCTGCAAGTGCTTAAAATCCCAGGATGAGGGGCAGCAAAGTGGACTTGCACCTGGCCAGACTTGGCTACTAGAACCTGATCTTCCTTCTCGCCTTTCCAGTTCCAGTTGTGCCACCAGAAGCTCCCTGAGTGCTGCTCCTCAGACCAGCAACATCTGCATGACTCTAGCTCCATCCCTTCCCATCATTGGGATGGCTGAAGGTGCTCGGTTCTTGAGTCCTCCACCTACCAGTGGACAACTCTTGCACCCTTCGTGCACTAACCACAGAATACCAACTGATCAAATGGCAATAATGGCTCCAGCATCTTTCCTTAAAAGAACAATTTACGGACACAGCGCTAACACACCCCCTCTTGGGGTAACACAGGGTGACCAAATGATGTACTCGGCAGCTCATGTCTGAGATGATGACAAATCAGCATACAGCCTGAACAGGGTGCTACTTCACTATCCTGAAAAGTTCTTCGGACTGAAATGAGGACTTTCAGATGTTTGATGCTATTAGGAAGTGCATCAATATTGGCTTTTTACAGCTCTGAAGATGACGTTTTAGAACTTGTTTTAGGTTCTTGGGGTTTTTAACTTGTATTATTTTAATGCTATTGAAAAGGGGAAGATTCTGAGGCCTATATACCTGCTCAAGGAATTACTGAAACTGTAGAAATCCGTTTCACCCTTCCCTGGCCCTTTCAAGCTGCCATATCATGCTCTAGGGGATATGTCAGAGGATTTGGTTTCAATTTCTGTAGCTGTGTCACTTCTCATCAACTTAGGAGAGGGAGGTGCCTTAGTGGAGTTATTAACTGTGGACGATTGACAGGCTGTAATGCACAGGAAGGCTGTACTTAATCTACACATTTCTACCAGCAAACTGATGCAAGATGGTAAAACAC